GCCGTGCAGGGGAATGGCAAGGTAGCTGGGCATAAGGTAAAGTCTGTTCTTCTTGCTGCCCGCCCCCATTCCACAGAGCCGGCCTCCAGCCCGCCCGCATTCTTCTAAGCTCACCCGCCCATTCCACAGTGCCAGCCTCCAGCCCACTGCCCATTCCTCAGACCTCGCTCACCTGCCCATTTCCCTGCACTGCCTCAACGCCAGGAGGACGTGATTACAGTTCCCATCAGTTCCTCCCCGCGCACAGAGATCTGGAAGGGGCTGGAGAGATGCAAGGAGAGGGGGTCTGGACCAGCCGCAGCCATCTCCCATCAGCCGCAGCCAGCCCCACTAATCTAATGTCACCTGAAGCCCAGTCCCACAGGACCCCAGGGAAGTCACCCTCCTGAGCCTAAAATGTAGGAAACAAGAGGGTTGCTAATAATATGTTTGTTTTTTATTTCTTTGTGTATCTGTCATGTGTGTGTGTACATCTATGTGTGTCTCCATGAATCTTTGTGTGTGTGTATCTATTTGAGTGTATCAAATAATAATAAATACTTTGTGAGTGTGTGAGAGAAAGTGTGTGTGTGTGTGTGTGTGTGTGTGAGTCAGTCAGTGTGTTTGTCAGTCAGTGTGTTTGTCAGTCAGTGTGTGTGTGTCAATCAATCAGTGTGTGTGTGTGTGTGTCAGTCAGTGTGTGTATGTGTGTGAGTGTGTTACTATGCACTAATGTAAACACTGCCTTTTCTCTGAAAAGTCAGAGTTTACATTGAAAAGCTTGCAGCGACAATCTATAGACACCAGGGCCACTACCTTAAGTTGTAGTAACTCTGGTGACTATAGTGTTCCTTTAATAATTGTATTTTTGTCATTTACAAAAAAAAAGAAAAAGCTGACTCATAACTTTTTTAGTTGGCTTCTAGGAGGTGGCCCATAATGACGCCGCGTGTGAATCCCCTCCGGTCGGTCTGCCCGTGAGAGAGACAGCCTCCAGTCTGTAGCTCTGCCAGGAGTGAGCTGCAGACTGAAGTGTCTCGCGATCTCTCGCCTGTCAGAGCGTTGTCGCAGGTTACCACGGCAATGCTCTGACTGGAGATCGCGAGATTTACGACGTTGTCTGCAGCTCACTCCCGGCAGAGCTGCAGACTGGAGAGAGAGAGAGGGCGCCGGCCGGACCACCAGGGAAGGTATTTATGAACCCCCTGTTTTTTAACTACGAGCAAGTAACACCTACCTATGCTGCAGCATCTAAGCCTACACAAGAGTGTCATAAGGCACAGGCAAAAACAAAACATTTGTCAGCCTCACTAAGGGATGAGAGTAACCCTTGTACAGCTGGACAGTTCTGTGACCTTCAAAGAAGGCGTGCTTTCACTGCGCAAAAGAGACCCTGGCTGTGCAAAATTGGACAGGTCTTGAAAACGGATGCAGGCTCTTGATGAACTTTCAGACTCAGATGTCAGTGATGAGGAGGATTAGTCTAGATCTGAAGATTCCTATTTGGATTCTTATGAGGATGAGTTTGATACGGCTTCCAAACTGATTCCTCCGTGGAATGGTAACCGCCGGAACATATTGCCAAATATCTAGATATGCACATCTGCAAATCCTTATCTATGGAAATGCGCAATAAACTGAGACTGTAGTGTCCCCATCCTATAGTCCTGGACCAAGGAAGACTCCTAAGTTCTACCCAATTTGTTTTATTAAAAACAGGTTGGAAGCCCATGAAGGGTCTCGGGTTCTTAAAATATTGCCAAGACAAGCTCTTGAATTCTATGGAGTCAGTAGTTAAGGTTTACAAACTCCTGGAGGCTGCTCAATCTGGAACGCAACAGATTAATTTTGATATCTCTAAAGGTTGGCTGCGTAGGCTTGTCTGGATGTTGGGTAATGCCAACACGACTTTGGATACAGAACATAGGAAGGCAAATCTACTAAAAATAGAGCCCAAACTGGTTATTATGGTCTTAAATGAACCAGAGGCGCCCACTAAGGGCATGTCATTTGGATAATCTGTTATCAAGGATTTAGGAGCTTTTGGGAAAACCTTTACAGCCTTTACACCCAAGGTTTTTTGTGGAGCTGGAAAAGCAAGGAGCCATCTGTCCAGACATGAATCATTACGATCCTTTCGTCAGAGGCTCCTTATCCAATCATGTCAATTCCTTCCCTCTCATGGAAGACCATGGGCTTCTCGAGGAACCCGTGTAGCCTCTCCCAGGAAACAACCTTTCGGTAAGTATTCTAACTACCCTTTCATGCCTTCCAGTAGTGAGTGAGCAGACTGATTTGTTTCGCTCCTATGAGGCCATTTAAAATCTAAAAAGTATAGGTGTTACAGACAGTTTAAGCATATTGCTAGGAACTGATTTCTTGTTCTCTTCAGATGTCAAAGAATGCAATAACATTATGGTTCCCCACTCCATGCTGCCCAAACCCTCCCTCAGCCTGGCTTTTGGGAAATCTCTCCTCCTGCAGGGGAAGTGATGTCACCGGAGGAAGATCAGGATTACGTTTTATTTTTATTTTCCCAAAAGGGTTGCTACAACTAAAAACTGCATTTAATTAGAATACTGTTTTTGATAGAGTAATGAAAATAGACACCTGCATAGTAACATGATGTTCATGAATAGCGATTCATCCAGTTTGTGTAGTACAGTATTATTATTATTATTGCTTTTTATTTAGCGCTAACAGATTCCATAGCACTTTACAATATTATAAGAGGGAGGATTTACTATAAATTGGACAATTACAAGAAAACTTACAGGAACGATACATTGAAGAGGACCCTGCTGAAATAGGCTTGCAGTCTTTAGGAGGTAGGGTGTGAAACACAATAGGACACAAATATATGTAATTTTCCATTTGTTTAAATGCAGTTGGTTCAGTCACTCTCTTTTCTGTCAAATAGCTGTGTGTCATCGGAGTTATAGTTCAACAGCTGGACAGCTACCGGGGTAATTATGGGTGTGTCAAGTACCAAAAGCTGCCAGGGTAGGACCAATAACACAAATAGTTTTGTGGTTTCCCAACAAGACTAGGTCCTGATAACATCTGATATATTCATGTTGAATAATTGAATAATAATTTTAAATAATTCAACAATATATTGTTGAATAATTGGTTCTATTCAGGAAGTTCCTTGTAACACCCATGTTTTGTATGCAACCTCTTCCTAGTTCCGACATCTAGCTGGCATGATTGGCCTAGTTTCATTGATCCACAATGTTTTTCCAGTTCCTACAACATTTTAAGGCCTCATAGCTTTGAAAAGGTAATTCTTACGAGAAGATACCATTGCATGCGAAGGCCAAGGAAGAGTTGATGTGGTGACTGTCCCACATGGATATGTGGAACAGCATAGAGTCTGTTGCCAGCTTACATGGATGGGGTGTGCATTGCTGGAACATTTCTACAGGTGTAAGATGGTCCGTAGATGAAACCTTCCTACAAATCTGCTGCCTAGAGATGTTGTCAGGATTGTTTGCCATTCAAAACCTATCCTCTACGACAGCCTTGTTCAATCCTGCTCAAGACAGATAATATGTTGGCTATCCAGTACATAAATCATCTGGGAGGCATGACATGGTGGTTGCTCAAGATTTCTTGCATTATTGTTTCTTACACAATATTTGAATATGGTGGAACACATTCTGGGACTGTCCAACACTGCTGAAGACTGGAACTTGTGATACCTCAGAGATTCCAAAGACTTGCGTCCGCATTGATCCCTCTTTTTCAGGATCATTCATCTTTTGGATCCATTGGTTATCGACCTTTTTGCCTCCCACTTAAACACTCATCTCCCACGATTCTTTAGCTGTAGACCAGATCCAGATGCATCAGCGGTTGATGCCTTTCTACAACATTGGACTTCGGCAAGGCAGTAGGCGCCTCCTCCCTTCTTTCTCATTTTGAGAATCCTTCTCCCTTTTTGGTGGACTTCTCTTGTACTGACCACTTTGTTGTGGGGTTCTCACCCATGGTTTCCTCAACTTCTAGAGATATCCATAGACCTACCCTGGTTGCTGTGGAATATACCTGAAATCCTCTGGATGTGAACTCACATGACTTGATGAATTGAAGTCTCCTTCGTCTGATGGCTTGGTTGATTTTGGGGTATCCTGGTCAATTGAGGGAAATCTGCAATTAATTATCTGACTCCTTGCAGATTCATGGGCACCTGGCACCAGACGATCTTATTGATTGGCTTGGAATACCTGATCTAGCTCCTCCATGGGAAGGAACTTGGATCCCATGTCAGCTTAGCTGCAGTTATTGAATTCCTGACTATCCTCTTCCAAAGTGGTAGAGCTTATTGGATGGTTAATCTTTATAGGTCGGCAATTTCAGCTCGTCACCATGGTCTAGATGATGTTCCTGTTGGTTGTCATCCTTTTGTTTGGCGATTGCTTAAAGGCATTCACTTCTCTAGGCCTCCTGTTTCTCGATACTTGGCCTTTTTGAATGTCAATATGGTTCTATGTTTTTGGATTCTTGGCATCGCCATCTGAATTCAGATCTTTCTTTGAAACAGCTGTCAGCTAAATTACTTATGTTGTTTTGCGTAATTTCATGTAAAAGACTGCGTGGGTTCTGGATTTTAATGTACGGTCTTTTGTTTTGGAGGGTGTTGGGTTTGACATCTCTTGTCGTACAAAGAACTTAACAAAATTGCTTTTCAAATGTCCTTTTTGGACAAACCTAATCTTTGCCTCATTTTGTCTTTGTTTCAAAATGCAAAAAAAAACCAATAAGTATTACTGAACCTTAGAATGGTCAGGTTTAACGTAAGAGAAAAGAATAGTCCAAAAATAGCCAAAAGTCAGGATACCAGAAATCAGGAGAGTGATTAAGAGTAGCCAGGTCAGGATACCAGAGATCAGGAGGTTAAAAGTCGAGCCGAGTCAGGGAACCAGAAAACAGGAACGTCAAAAAAGCCAAGTCCGGTCAGAACACAGGAATAACAATAATAAGAATATAAGAAGAGCAAACTAGCACTAAAGGGACCACAAGGAAACACAATAGAGCAAGGAACAAGACAAAAGATGTTCCATTTATAAGGGAGCGTCTTTTGCTTTAAGGCCACGCCCCCAAAACGCTCTTGTCTGGTATTCATAATTTGTGTGAGTATGTGTGTGTCTGAATGTGTATGTGTCTGTGTGTGTGTGTGTGTGTGGATGTGAGTGTGTGTGTCTGTGTGTGTGTGTGTGTGTGTCTGTAAGTGTATGTGTGTATCAGAGTGTGTGTAAGTGTGTGTGTCTGTAAGTGTATGTATGTCTGATAGTGTGTATGTGTGTGTATGTAAGTGTATGTGTCTTTATGTGTGTGTATGTGTCTGTAAGTGTGTGTGTGTGTGTTTGTCCGTGACTGTGTGTGTCTGAGTGTATGTATGTGTGTCTGAAAGTGTATGTGTGTCTGAGTGTGTGTGTCTGTGAATTTATGAGTGTGTGTTTGTGTCTCTACATGTGTCTGTATGCATGGGTCTGTGTGTGTGTGTGTGTCTGTATGTATGTGTCTGCATGTGTTTCTGTTTGTCTACATGTGTGGGGGGGGGGCAGGGACGTGTGGGGTAGGAGATAGATGTATGGGGGGGGCCCCAGGGCAATTTTCGCACCATGGCCCTCTGGTTTCTAGTTACGTCTCTGGTATCTATCTGTGTGTCTGTGTATCTGCTGGTGTGTCTGTGTATCTGTCTGTGTGTGTGTATGTCTGTGTATCTGTATATGTGTCTATCTGTCTGTCTGTGTATCTGCTGGTGTGTCTGTATCTATCAGCTTTTCTGTATGTATATATATGTGGCTGTGTATATGTTTGTCTGTGTGTGTGTGTTTGTATCAGTGTGTTTGTGTCTGCATGTGTCTGTGTGACTTTCTGTATGTGAGAAAAATTTGGTTGGCAGAATCGATTTGTTTGAACAAAAAAAGAGACATGACACGATTTGCTTGGACCAAAGTTTGTCCACATGACGTTTTGGTTCAGACTAATTTTTCCAGAAAAAAATTATTTTGATAAGCCAAAAGGGTGTGCAAATGGGCCTAACAGTGTACAGCAAAAAAAAAATAAAAAAAGCTTGTTCTTCAATTCCTTTTACCTTTTCTTGGAGCTATAGATGAACTTTGAATGACTAAACAAAAAAGAACTCGTCCATTGTCCTTTTGTGTGTTTCATGATTCAGTTTTGTGGTAATTCTGCGTTACCTACAATGTAATGATAAACAAAATGTTTTCTTTGAAAAGACACATCAACCTATCCCAGTTCAAACCATGAATCCCAATGGATTGGCCTTGCAGAATCCTTTTGTTTTCTCTCATATAGTGGAACAATGTTGGGTGCCTGACGTGACATTTCCAATTATCTCAGGATGCCACTTGATATGTCAATCTCCATGTATGGCATTTACCTTATTTGTTACCCTTCTTATTCATATTTAAGCTGAAAACAAAGATTTTTATTTCTAAAAAAAAAATGACACATAGATATGGGCTTACATACATAGACTAGACGGAAGCTCAAGAGTATACACAAACTGAGAAGTGATGCTGTAGAAATAAAACAATATTGCTACCTGGCTTTCCATCATTCTTGGTTTGATAGAATATTACAGTGATCTTATTAAATTGATCTTATCCCATCATTCTTGTTTTGATGTAATATTACAATGGTCTTAACAAACTGAGAACTGTGAAAAATACTGATGCTGTAGAAATAAAATAATTTTGCTACCTGACTTCACATCATTCTTGTTTTGATGGAATATTACAATGATCTTATCAAAGTAAACAGTTCCCAGCCTAATCCTGCCCCCTCCTCCCTGCTTTTATTACCCTGAGATAACTCAAATCCTTCTGATAGATCTGCCTCTAAATCCCATAATTCTTTGTAGAAAAGGAGAGACATTTGTTCTTTTTTTTCTGGGGCTGAGATCTCTCTGAGTGAGAATGATCTTTGCTCACCTATTTGTTTTGTGGATTGTAACCCTTTAGTAGCCTCCCTTGTATTTTGCAAGCAGTTCATGAGAGAAATGGGCTTTTTAGCGAGTATGAATAGAGGTGAGAGAGAAAGATATCCCCTGGACTGCAAGGAAGGGGAGGCATGACTGCTGCCTTGCAGTAAGGGGTGGGAAGATAAAAGATACAATGTTGCCTATATAGTGGGATATAAGAGGGAGATCAAGGGGGTGGGACTCACCAGTGCAGAAGGAGCAGTCTGGAACAGTTTTCAAAGTTTCAGAGCCCTTTAGCTTCTAGCCTTCTGCTGTTAAAAAAAAATAAAAAAAAAAAATAAAAGAAGAATTTAGTTAGAATTTAGTTACCTTACTCCAGTGTTAACTGCAAGCTAGGCCTTCCCTGCAAGATGGCTGAATTGTCAAGGGAGGCTTTGCTGGGGGTGCTGCAGGCCTACCTGGCGTCCAATGGATCCGGTTCTCTGGCAGAGCTGATGGCCGACCTTCCCCAGGCCCGCATGGCCGTGGAGCAGCCGGTGGCGGAGACCCCTTCTCTGCCCGCGGGAGGAGGCCGAGGCGTTCTAGGCCTCCTTCCCGCCTTTCCCCCAGTCCGGTGCGTAGAGGAGGGGGATCGGAGGCCGGGACCAGCGGGCAGTAGCCGGCGCCGGAGCATGGAGGCGGTGATGGCGGATCCCGGGCTTCCAGGAGGCAGCCGCGGGTGGTGAGAACTGCGGTGAGGCGGGCCCAAGATGGCGGAGCGCGGGAAGAGCGCTCGTGCAGTCCTCCTTCTCTTCCGGTCCGGCCGGAAGTGACGCATCGACGTCGGACGTCCGGGCGGTGCGTGGAGACGCCGGACGTCACAAGGGGCGCGTACGTGACGGACGCACGGCGCACAGTGCGGACGTCACAGGCCCCACCGGAGAACCCGGAAGTGCGCGAAAATGCGGCGCCGGAGCCCCAGGGGAGCCGTGGGGGCGCCCAAGCTCGGGATCGGAGGGCTGTACAGCCCAGGAGAAGGCTGGGGGCAGATGCCCTGCAGCAAGGAGAGCCCAGAACGCGGGGACTGCCGGACAGGAGTCCAACATGGGACAGCATCCAGAGGAGGCTACAGGAGGACTCGGAATCCGGATCAGAGGAGGAAGATTTGGACCATAGGACGGCTCCCAGACCTCGCCAACCTGAGCAGGCTACCGTGGCAGCTCCACTAAGCGGTGAGTTGGCTTGCGCTAGCGCTTGGGGTAGCCTAGCTGGGGGACAGGGTGCGCTAGGGCAGGAGCAGGCTGCGGATAGGGAATTGTTGCGCTTGCTCAGGGCAGTGGTAGATAGGTTGCCAGCTGCGCATAGCCAATCAGGGGACGTGCGCAGGGTGCTGGAGGAGGCTCCAGCTGATAGGGCTCAGGCGGGGGGGGGTTCCGTCCCTCTCTACCGGGTTGTGAACTGTCCCCCTTGGGCATGCATGTCCCAGGGGAGACGCGGGATAAGATTATTAAAGGGGAATTTGTGGACTTTTTGTCCCTGGTTTCCCCGGACAGGGATTCTGTGGATCGACCACGTCGTGGCGAGCCACAGGACCCCGAGAAGGGTAAGCAAATCCCACGAACGTTTGGGAATTGGTTACAGGGTTTCGCGGTTTTCGCAAGTATTCTGACCCGTCGGTTCCCGGATAGGGCGCCGCAGCTGTTCGGATACTTGGATCTGATTTGGGGTGCGTATAAGGTGTATGGCGGGCAGAGCTGGTTTCGTTACGACCAGCAGTTCCGGCAGAAGATGGCGGCGTGTCCTGGATTGGACTTCGGCACGCAGGATGGCAGCCTGTGGCTGTTGCTCATGACGCCAAGTCGTCCGGCGTCCTTTCCAGGGGCAGCCGGCGCCGGAGCTTCCTCCGGTGCGCCGGCTGGGCAGAAAAAGGGAGTGTGCTGGCTCTTCAATGAGAGCCACTGCAGGTGGTACTCCTCCTGTAGGTTCAAGCACGAGTGCTCACATTGCGGGGGGGCTCACCCCGCCATGCGATGCTTCAAGAAGGCGAAGCAGTCCATTCCCAAGGCAGGGTCACGAGAGGATGGTTCCAAGGGGGAGGACACCAGTGAGCGTGGCAAGGATGTTGCCATGGCTCGAGGCCTACCCTAAACGCTGCGATGCCGCGGTGTTGGAGGAAGGGTTTTCAGTCGGATTCTGGATCCCCTTTGTCTCCTCGGCGGAGCCACGGTTGGCAGATAATCTTCGGTCGGTCAAGGGTAGGGAGGAAGTTTTGGGTGCCAAGTTGGAAAAAGAATTGACATTGGGGCGCATGGCGGGGCCGTTTTCTTACCCCCCATTTCCCAACTTGCGGGTATCGCCCTTGGGGCTGGTACCTAAAAAGGAGCCTGGCTCCTTGTCGGTTGATTCATCACCTGTCCTACCTGGCTGGGAGGTCGGTGAACGATGATATCGATAAGGAATTCAGCAGGGTGCGTTATGCTTCGTTTGACAGGGCCCTGTCATTGGTTAGGGAAGCGGGGTTGGGGGCTCTCCTGGCTAAATCAGACATCGAATTGGCCTTTCGGTTATTGCCGGTTCACCCAGAATGTTATCACCTGCTGGGTTGTCAATTCCAGGGGTCGTTTTTCTACGACATGTGCCTTCCCATGGGTTGTTCGATCTCGTGTTCTTATTTTGAAATGTTTTCCTCGTTTTTGGAATGGTCTGTGGTTCAGTATTCGGGTTTGGATTCGGTGACGCACTATCTCGATGACTTCTTGTTTGTGAGTCCTCGGGAGGGTGACGGATGTTCTCGGTTGTTGGCGGCCTTCCGCGCAGTGTCCGCGTGGTTTGGCGTACCAGTGGCGGAGCAGAAGACGGAGGGGCCAGCCACTAGGCTGTCGTTTTTGGGCATCGAGATTGACACCGTGGACATGGTTTTTCGCTTACCGGACGAAAAGCTAATGGTCCTGCTCAAGCAGATTGACTTGGTAAAATCGGCTCGGAAGGTACAGTTGCGCACGATGCAAGTACTGCTGGGTCACCTAGCCTTTGCTTGCAGAGTCTTGCCCATGGGGCGGGCCTTTTGCCGGCGCTTGTCATTGGCGACGGTTGGTATCCGGGAGGCTCACCATTTTATTCGGGTGTCGGCCAAACTTAGGACTGACTTACAGGTATGGAGTGTCTTCCTGGGTAGGTATAACGGCCGATCATGCTGGTTGCGGGAAGCGGTTCCCAATGCCGAACTTGATCTGTACACGGATGCATCGGGATCGGTAGGGTTTGGGGCTTACTTTCAGGGCAAGTGGTGTGCGGCTGCTTGGCCAGCGGCGTGGCGTGAGCTGGAGTTGATGCAGAACCTTACGTTCTTGGAGCTGTTCCCCATAGTGGTGGCGCTAGCACTGTGGGGGGACGAATTGCGGAACCGGGTGGTGGTTTTTCACACGGATAACATGAGTGTGGTCCATGTGATTAACCGATCATCGTCTGCATCTCCTCCAGTGCTGTCTCTCTTGCGTCACCTAGTGCTGCTGAGCTTACAGTTTAATGTGTGGTTGCAGGCTCGGAATGTTCCAGGGGTTTTGAATGTGGTGGCTGACTCTCTTTCTCGGTTTCAATGGGACCGTTTTCGGGAGTCGGCACCGGAAGCAGATCAGGAGGGTCTTCGCTGCCCGGCATACTTATGGGACCTGGTTTCGGAGGGCTGATGTCCTTGGTGTCGGCATCGTTGTCGGCGGCTACGTGGAAGGCATACAGGTCGGTATGGGTAGGTTGGCTGTCGTGTGTGGAGGGGTCTGATCGTATGTCATCGGGGGCTGCCCGGTTCTCAGTGACGTTACGCTATATGAGTAGGCTCCTGGAGCAAGGTCACTCATGCGCGTCGGCGGAGAGAGCGCTGTCGGCTCTGCCGTTTTTGTTTTGGTTTCTAGGCTGGCGGGACATAACGAAGGAGTTTTGCCTGCAGCGGGTTCTGCGCGGTTGGAGGACCCGGAGGCGTCCGGACCGGCGGCGTCCGATTTCAGTGGAGCTGTTGTGGCAGTTGATGGGGGCATTGCCGGGGGTCTGTGTCTCGGTATCAGAGAGTCGGTTGTTCCAGGTTAGTTTTGCGCTGTGTTTCTTCGGGGCATTGCGGGTGGGGGAGCTTGTCGCCCCCAATCGCCGTTCGGTTTCTCCTCTCTTGCTGTCAGATGTGCGTTGGACGGATGGGTTTGTGGACCTGCATATCCGCAGATCCAAGACAGATCAAGCTGGGGCTGGTGTGTGGCTCAGGGTGGGGAGCTATGGTGGTGAGTATTGTCCGGTCCGGCTCTTCCAACAGTATATGGCGAGTCGGCCAGCGGTGGCCTCATTGTTGGTACATGCGGATGGGTCCCCGCTTACGCGTTTTCAGTTCGCGTCAGTGTTGGGTAGAGCGCTGGTGGACTGCGGTCAAGATCCATCAGGGTTCTCGCCCCATTCCTTTAGGATCGGGGCCGCTACTCAGGCTAGCGGTATGGGTTTGGCAGGCTCGGTGGTGCAGCGATTAGGCAGATGGTCTTCTAGGCGGTTTCAGCTGTATGTTCGTCCACATTTGTTATAATTTGTTTCAGGTTGCGTCCCCCGTTACGTATGGATCTTGGGGCATTCACTCCTCCCATACCTTGCCCCTCTGTCGATCCTTACACTGGCTTCCTGTATCCTATAAGTGTCAATTCAAAATATTAACCCTTACCTATAAAGCTCTAACCAACTCTAGCCCCTCTTACATTTCTTTCCTTATTCATAGGTATGCCCCTTTTTCGTCTCTCCGCTCTGCCGGTGACCCTCTCCTGTCCGCTGCTCGCATCCTTACTGCTAACTTGCGCTTGCAGGTCTTCTCGCAGGCGGCTCCCTTCTTTTGGAACAGCCTGCATACCCCCATCAGACTCTCCCCTAGTCTTCAATTTGTTTAAAGGACCACTATAAGACGATGTAGTCCTTAGGTCCCCCCCCAACCTGATGGCCCCGCTCCCGCTGGGCTGAAGGGGTTAAAACCCCTTCAGCCACTTACCTTTCTCCAGTGCCAGGGAACTTTCCTCCTCCTGCCAACGTCAGCATCAGCTTTCCTATGGATGTCAGCGTCTTTTCACTGTGATTTTCACAGTGAGAATCGCGGAAGTGGCCTCTAGTGGTTGTCAGTGAGACAGCCACTAGAGGCTGGATTAACCCTCAGTTTCTCAGCTATGTTTACAGCTGCAGGGTTAAAACTAGAGGGACCTGGCACCCAGACCACTTAATTGAGCTGAAGTGGTCTGGGTGCCTATAGTGGTCCTTTAAGAAGCCCCTCAAAAAACATATGTTCAGAAATGCTAATGAACCCCCAGAGTAACTTATCTATACTTATCAAAATCTGTCTCTTGCTCTCCTAAAAGAGCCATACTCCACTCTCACCTACAGCTCTGCTACTTTTTCACCTTGTTTGGTGGCTGTCACCCTTGCTGGCCTGTTGTGTATTTGTACGCCACCTCATCTAGAATGTAAATTCGTTTGAGCAGGGCCCTCATCTATCTCTTGTTCCTGAGTCACTGTTCAATTGTCTCATTTATTGTAAATTTCCACACCTTTCATAAAATTGTAAAGCGTTGCGAAATTAGTTGGTGCTATATAAATATCAATAATAATAATAATAATAATAATAATATCCAAGAAACTTCCTCTTCTGAGTGTTTTACATACAAAATTCCATATTATGCATAATTAATATGTTGAATATCATTGGGCATATTACCAATGTTTTTTTTTTAATCATTGCAGAGTGGTTTATAAACAAAACATAAACCTCTTCATATGTGTGGAAATAATTTGGCAGCATGTAAGTCACAATGCAATCAGCCTGGCACACATACACAACACCACAAACAGCATCCCCACAAATAAAAAAAACACTTCAAACAGCCTTCACAAACATAGACACACACCATGTCACAGCACTGTCCCATTTATCATCCAACCACCCAGCAAGTTACATTCGCCATTCAATCCTACCCCAAACTAGTCGCATTAATGCATCTAAGTGAATACCACGTACAAAGCTCCCAAAGTTTACGTTTTTATTTATTTATTTTAAACACTTGACTTTGTAAAAATAATGGGAGTTTAGTTACAGTATATGATCATACATTTCATAAGCCTGCCACAACGTCAATGTACCCCATTCTTGGCAGGTCCTATGCTAGCAATCTAGAATACCCTAGAACAAGGCACCTGTGACAGGAAGGGGTGCAAAAACAGGGTTGGCCTGGACTAAAATATATTTACATATTAAAACTCAGCTGAACATGTATACATTATAAGGCTGATGCTGGGCCAATTAATACAAGATATAAGAGCCAGTGCACTCACTCATTCACTAAACATTAACCGCAAAGCTCTGAAAATGTAATAGTTTAAAATAACTAATACATTTTCTGAACTTTAAAGTTGGTGTGAGTAGGTGAATGTGCTGCATCTTGTATATTGTATTAATTGGCCTCAGCATCACCCTTATAATGTATGCATGGTGAGGTGAGGTTAGTGCAGCGCTCTTTGTGTTATATAAATGTGTGTGTCTGTGTGTGTATATATATATACTTACACTTTTTGTTTTTAGACATAGTGGTTTGCATACCCGGCCTTAGGTCAAGATTATTAAGATTATTCAAGACGATGTATGGACAACCTTTGGCTAGCACAGACTCATACATTTCATGTGCTGTGTTTATCCCTTTGATTTTGCACCAAAACAGTGGCTTAAATAGATGGCCTTATGTTCCAGTTGTCACACAAGATCCTAGTCATAAGATCCTAGATAATTGCCATACAGTCACACTGCTGCGGAGGTTTTGGAAAACAAAATGCAAACAAGTGAAAAAGAAAATATCACTGTATATATTGAACAGTAAATATATAGTAATACTGAAACCAGTCCAATGTCTCCAGTTTGTGCTAAAATCAGTCCTGCTCTTTATTACAGAGTCTGATAAGACCGGCCTGTCTGATTGCACAGGTATTTCAGTGCGGAGCTGAGATGGGATAATTGTTCCATGTAATCCTTTTCTGTTGTGTAGAAGCAGTTCTGATATCAGCCCTTTTCCCCGCACACAATGGCCATCACACAATCTGCCTGGTGCTCCAGATGCAGAGAGCAGATTTTTATTTTTTTCCCACCTCCGTTTGGATTAACAAGATCTCAGATTCACAACTCACAGCGAACAAAACGCGCTGAGATTAGAAGGCCAGTTATCGTATTCACAGGGGTTTAGCATTTCTGTCCGGGGGATTATGGAAGCTTTCATTTTTTTAATTTTTTTTTACTTTCATAAAATGGTCTGAGTTATAACACAGAGGCTTTAGGAGAATAAGGGGGAAGGTATTTAAAATACAGAAAAGTCAGGGCATGAAAAGAAAATGCTTTAAGCTGAAAGTATTATTGGTAAACGGGGTCTCTTGGTGAGCAACAGGGATGAGGTGTTTTAAAAGGCCTGGTGTTCAACCACAGAGACATGGTCCAGAAGGTGGAGTGAAGTATCAGACTTTCACCATGTCACCCACCAAGGACAGTGTTAAAAAACAAATTCAGCGTTCCTTTTCCATTGAAAGTATTCTGTCACTTCCCTCACCTGAAAAGACAGAGGATCCTACAGGTGGCCCGAAACAGTCTTCGTGGGTTCCGAAGGAGCAGTGTTTGGGAGATCTTGCCCCCAACAATGAGCCGGTGGTAACTGTCTGCAACTGTTGCTGTTGCTCACACTCTAACCATCGCTCTGCACAGGAAACAGCATGGTTTGGTGAGTACAGGAACCTTCTTAAATCTGTATAGTTAATGCCTAGAAGTGTTGGACATCTCAGTAAAATTATAATGGCGAGTATAACACTTGCAGGGTTATTTATTAAAGTGAGAACTGTCCTTAACTTCCAATTTAGGGGAAAATAGCCAAAGTGGAAGCACAGCGAAATTTGCTAATTTTCCCATTTTTAATATGTTTGCCTTACACGTGCAATTCACTTTGAATTCCTGACAATTCTTACTTTAGTGAATAACCTTATCCATTCACATCTTTACTGCTTGTTGGACAGTTTTATTTCACAGTAGAAGTTCAAATCAAAGTTACATTTGAGAAATGTTAACTTGTGTATGTAGCTGTGTTTATGCATGGTTTATTCATTATTGGGACAGAGGTTTGAGTGTGAACATTCCATCATCTAGTGATATTGAACCATCAGGATGACCTCTGTAGCAAAAATAATGACTTGAATCATTGTTCAGTTGTTTCACTGGTTTAGTATCCTTCTAATTTTCTTTGGTTGTATGGGGTTTATTTACTAAACAGTGAATTGTTATGAATTGACAAAGGAATTACTTTGTTTAGGTCACATTAGCTAGGATGAGAAAACGCATTTATTCTATTCTGTATTTTGAAACACCTTTTTTCAATTTGCACCAATTCCCTGCCTAGCAAATTAATTCTTTTGTCTAAATGTCTTCAGTCAAAATGAGTTCCTTTGTCTAAATTTCAATCATAAGCCTGTTACGTCCATTCTGACAGCTGAAGAAATTATTGGGTAGTTTTATAGTTCATGATTATAGATTGCAAATTTACAGATTGCAAATATGCAAAGTCAAATGGCTAGGATAATCTTAAAAACCAAATGAAGGCTACATCTTTTCCAGGACACCTAATTAATTTTTATATCCGTCATTGGGCTGTTTCTCATACTTATTTGCTTTACTTTTTAGCGTAAGACAGAGCTCTCTAATTTGAAAAGGTATATTTTTAAATTAAGTGTTAACTGCCTCACATATATGACTTAATGGGCAACACAAACTAAAAAACGATAATGTCTAACTACTGTATAGTCTATTTGCCAGGCTTTTACATAAGTAAATGATTTATTTCCCAGGCTTCTTTAATGGCTACACCAAGCACCATGATCACTTCAGTGATTTCAATTGGTCACAGTGCCTCGAGTCTGTATTTGCAGCATTTCACTATTTAACCTCTTTGTTGCCAGAGGTGTAACTCCAACTCCGGCAGCGTCATTTGGGTATCAGAACAAGACTTCTTTAATGGCTAATGTCAATTTTGTGCATATTTTTATGTCATTCATTATCACATGAGTGTTGAGGTGATTGTCATCAGGCTTCTGCAGGTCACCAGAGCTGCAAGGACCACTCTGGGTACCATAATCACTTCATCTCAATGATAGGTGTGTACATTTCTAAAGAGATATGTTAAATCAGCCTTATGTGAATAAGCTCCTTAATATTTTGTCTTTTATAATGTTGTCTTTCCTATATTTTCTTATTTCTTCTGTAGCTTACTCTTGTTGACATATTCAAGTGGTCAGATTCAGATTTTTACATTGTACCAATATCTCTGCATTTATCCCTACATGTATCTCCATGTAATTCTGCCTTTGTACGGTTGAATGACTATAATAGTGCAATACTCTTGAGCCATTCTCCTTCCTGCCAGTCTCCTTTCTTACTCCCTAAACCTGTCTTTCAGCCTCAAAGCTAAATTGGCCTGTGAGAATGCTACACACTATTCCTGGCAATGAAATAGTCCATGACGGATCCACCATATTCCCCCCACAGCCACTAGCTCAGCGTCGGACACGGCGACATCGTACTATCTTTACAGAGGAGCAGCTGCAGGCACTGGAAGAAACGTTCCACCATAACCAGTATCCAGATGTGATTGCTCGAGAACAGCTGGCTGGCAGGATTCAGCTCAGAGAAGAGAGAGTGGAGGTACACGGATGATAGATAGTAATAAGGAAATGAGAGTGAGAGTCTGATTATTGTAAAAATGCAAGAAAATAAAGAATATGTGTAAACATAGAGAAAAGGGGGAGATTGGGATGAAGTGTGGAAGAGTTCAATGACCCTGGCCTGGTTTTCCAGTAATGGGACAAACCATTTGGCCACATTACCGGACTGGTTTGCTACAATATGTGGGTCCCTGCTGGGCTCCAATACTCCCTGGTGGTCCAGTGACGTGCTTTTTGATGACATTCCAATAACACTGCCGGATATGGAGTTAAACCTTCAATAGCAGAGGAGTTAAACTCAGTTTGTGCTGCATTTCAGAGTGAAACTCTGCACGTACAGACACCAGACAGCATCACCACTTCAAATCACTGAAGTGGTCATGGTGCTTGGAGTAACCCGTTAAGCAAGTTTTATTTTTTGAGTCCTCAACAGTGATGGCAGCAAGAGTCCAGTCTGGTAATAAAGGCCTAAGTTGACCCTGTAGAAATGCCTCAGTATGCTTGCCCATTTTCAATATGGAAAGGATGTAATCCTCAAAATATTTGTATTGTTCACCAAAGATTAAAAAATAAAAGGATCTCTCTTTTAATTCTAGTTTGTCATCAGTGCCATGTGTGCCTGTCTCTTGAATTTATAACATTTTTGTTTTTATAGGCAACAGCAATACTGTTGTTACATGATTGCAGCTGTATGATATGTATTTTATACTTCTAATGGTCCTCTATTTCCTTTTTTTTTTTTTTGTAGACAATAAAACCAGATGGCTAGGAGATTGTAACATGTCATTAATTAAAGTTTAAAGGGATTTAAAAGTCTAGTTATGACAACTGTGATGTGATAGTATGCATAATTACATCTTCACATTTCTAGGTATGGTTTAAGAACCGCAGAGCCAAATGGAGAAGACAAAAGAGAGTGACTTCTTCAGTAATCATCCTTCAAGGAGCAACGGACAGGAACGAGTCCTGCTAATGACTCTAAAGCATCAGTCAAAGATATACATTCAACAAATGGATCTGTGCAGAATTATACAATCTAGTTGTAGCTGTTAACAGAGAGCAGAAATGTTTTGTACAGAAAGCAATTCTGGATTAAAGTGCTAAAAGAGGAGCAGTTACCATGGAACCCACTTTTAGAACTCTGATCCACAATTTTTCTTTGTGCAAAACCTTCTTTGTTAGAATTGTATGACCAGCAAGCAAAATGTTTAACTGCATATTTTTCTTACTCACCGACTACTAACCATACAAGCCTTCAATGTTGTTGATCCTTCTGTCCATGCATCTATTCGAACTACACAATTTGTTCAGCATAAGAAATACTAAAGTCTTGAATAAAATAGTTATTTTAATTAAATTTGTAATTTCACATTATGGTGGCAAGATATGTGTAAAAGGCCAAAGTGTTTTGAAAACAGTTTTTCCTTATTTAGTTTTGTGCGTATCAATCATGTTTTCTTAATAAAGTCAAGTACAAACAAAAAGTACAGCGTGTCGCTACAACGGATAATAAATCACAAATCATGTGGCTACATATAATTTCAGAAGTTCCTCACTTGTCATTGGGCATGCAGGTAGTTATCAGTCAAATTAAGAGAAAAAAATATGAACAAAAACTTTAATAAGGGCATGGTTTGAAATCCATGAACAAACATTTAGTTTTTTTTTTTTTTAATGTTAATAGACCCTCAAAGAGTTTTTTGGGGGGGAGGGGAGGAGATCACAAAAAAAGACAAAAAGTAGAAATATAAGCGTGACAATTAAAGAAGTGGGAAAAACAGGAAGGGATCAGAGAAGAGGGACTAGAGGCAAAGCAGGGAGCTAAGAACAAGGATGTAAGAGTAGAGGTAAGCAGAGGTGTGGTTTATCCTCCAAGTAAAGCTATGCCTGTCTACATCAATCCTGGTCAACCCTAGAAGGCACATACCATTTGTTCAGATGACCACACGTTGTGTGCCTGGGTGCTTCACCAGGGATAGATTTTTAAATGAACAACAAATATATTCCACAAAGCCTGGGTGTCTAGTTTAATCCTCTCACATTCCGACTATGTTTAGTGAAGTGTGCCTTTCAAACACTGGCACTTCCAACATGACATGGGTTGTTTATGATGGCCTCCTTATGAAATAGTTTAACCAATGCTTCAGAGGAAGAAGGAGCAATTAAAGATTTGCAAACAGAATGTGACATGTATTGAGTCACAGCATCCAGCTCTCCAGCCCATTGTTGAGGCAAGAGGATGAAGTAAAGTGCAAGTCTACCATTTTATCCTTCTTTTTTTTTTTTTAAATAAAAAAAACAAACAATACAAAACCATGATTATCATCCCAGCAATGAGATAGATTCCCCTGCTCCTGTCTGCAGACAGCTACCCAAATAGCGAAGAAGATTTAATAGGCGCTCTGGGCACCAATACAACTTTAATGTATTTGATAGATTTAGCCTCATTAATATCCTGTATTATTTTTATTTTGTTTTGCATGTTCAAATCTTTTTCAAAGTTTTTTGCAGAATGCTGCACCATAAGCCTGCCTTATTAGCCACATTCCCCACACCAGAAAGGCTTCCTTATCAAAAGTATGCTCACAGTCTGAGCCCCAACAGCAGTGAGTGAGCGACTTTGAATTCACAACCTGACCGTAGACAGTCAAAGAAACTATAAACAGGTAGTGATATCCTTACTATACGCTTCCCTGGATGTCCTCTTCTTCTAATGCAGGTTGGTTTGTTGTTCAAATCATTCAGTACTATCAGTGGCTGAGCTGTATGCATACAATTGATAAGGTAATCTTCTTCTGGAGTGAAGGGGCAGAGCAAAAGAGGCTGGCTTATGTTGCAGCATTCTGCAAAAACATTTTTTTTATGCAAAAACTATAAAAATTTGAGCATGCAAAAAATATAAAAATAAATAAATAGCACATTATTAAGGCCACATACAAACTGACACACACAAAGATACACACATATTCTGACACTGATACACAAACACGCTGATACACAACAATACACACTGACTGACACAGATATACACACACACACACACACACAGAAACACATTGACACATACAGATAGTTACATAGCTGAAAAGAGACTTGCGTCCATCAAGTTCAGCCTTCCTCACATTTGTTTTTTGCTGTTGATCCAAAAGAAGGCAAAAAAAAACAGTTTGAAGCACAATTTTGCAACAAGCTAGGAAAAAAATTCCTTCTTGACCCCAGGATGGCAGTCAGATTTATACTTGGATCAAGCAGTTATTACCCTACATTGAAAGATTATATTCTTGAATATTCTGTTTTTGCAAGTATGCATCTAGTAGCTGTTTGAACATCTGTATGGACTCTGATAAAACCACTTCTTCAGGCAGAGAATTCCACATCCTGATTGTTCTTACAGTAAAAAAACCTTTCCTTTGCCTTAGACGAAATCTTCTTTCTTCCAGTCTAAACGCATGGCCTCGTGTCCTATGTAAAGTCCGGTTTGTGAATAGATTTCCACACAATGGTTTGTATTGGCCCCGAATATATTTGTATAATGTTATCATATCCCCTCTCAGGCGATGTTTTTCTAAACTAAATAGGTTTAAATTTGTTAACCTTTCTTCATAGCTGATATGTTCCATTCCTTTTATTAATTTTGTAGCCCGCCTCTGCACTTTTTCTAGTGCCATAATATCTTTAATATTACACACAGGGGAGTACCTGGAGCATTTGACCCCCGGGGCGGATCCTGTTTTGGCACTCCCTCCACCTTTAGAATGTAAAAAACACCCACAATTTTTACAAATGTTTTTAAGAATATTTATTGCACACAGTTGTAAACTGTATGTTAGTAAGAGTCCTCTCATGGCCCCATTAGAGATTATAATGAAGTCTAATGCATCTCATAGGAAAAGCATTGGATTGGCTAAAATCAACAAGGAGGTGGGATGGGGGTGGGGCTAAACACTGTTTTGGCCAGTCAGTACCTCCTTATAGAGATGCATTGAATCAATGCATCTCTCTTAGGAAAATTCAGCGTCTCCATGCAGATCGTGGAGATGCTGAACGGCAGTGCTGCCTACTGTGCAGCACTTCCCCAGGAGGCACCTCCAGTGGCCATCTGCGTAGTGGCCACTTGGAAGTGTCCTTATGGGGCAATGTAAACACTGCCTTTTCTCTGAAAAAGTGTTTGCATGAATGCCTGAAGGGAATGATTATACTCACCAGAATAACTATATTAAGCTAGTTGGTCTAGTGACTATAGTGTCCCTTTGATATAAAGAAAAGAAACACAGATTTGCTTTGTTTAAATCAGTGTTATATTTTATTTAGCAAATAATTATTTTACCTCAAATGCAAATATGAATTAATTCATGGAATGGGCCAGTGGCATAATCACAAACTTTTATTTTGCATTGTAGTTAACCTTCTACCTCTAGAAAAGATAAGGGAAAATATTTCTGCAAGTTTGCAGCAGTGGATTAGTTCAAGGATTAAATGCTGTTAAAAGGAAAAATGTCATTATTTTTAAACATGTTTTTTAAGTATCAGAAATAATATATTAATATCTGAAATAATTATTAAAGGCACACTGTAGGAACTCTATTTCATCTCATTGAATTGGTTTAAGAGCTAAGAGTCACGCGGCACTCTCACCCAAATACAGCCTAGCATTGCTGCACAGGCTAATGCTTCCTCATTAGGTAACTACGTGTGTATATTAGAGTTCCACAGCAATTAAACTACAACAAATGTGTTCAGAAATCAGTCTGTGTATATGACACATTGTTTTTGTTCTAAATTACATTTTAGTTGCATAAATTTCTCAAGACAGCCCCACCCATGGACATTAACGTGTCCCTCTTTGTCCATTTGAAAATTAGGAGGTATGAAGTGGAGGACGGGCTGCTGGAGATTCTATTTAGCATTAAAACTACATATACCAGGTCTGTCAAAGATTCAGGCCCCTGTCACAGCATTTGTTTTCTCCCATGGCCTGCTGGGAGGAAGTGAGCTCAGGTTACTTCCTCCATGCTGAGTTTGCTGAGAGCCTTGCTGGGAGGCAGGAACGGACACACACACATGAAGGAGAGGGAAGCCTAGAACCTCAGTCTCCTTGACCAAACAAATAAACATACACTTATACAAAGTATATGAAAAGGATAACCTCTACACTTTAAGAAAATAAATACCACCTGGTTATATAAATAGCATATAAGACGTTGGTAAATTCCAGCTTGTCTCCCCAAAAAAGGGGTAAAAGTACATCTGGTTGTGCTTCAACTTGCAGCTGTAGATTATAGAAAGGAGGAAAGTCAATAGCGTGATTAAGTAAAAACAGCGCTTTTAATAAATAAAAATGCACTTACAAGAAGGCAGTATGTTCAGGCATATCTCCACCCAAGGTGAACCTTGAAAACAGCACACTGGTATGGGCTGGTTGGAGCAGGAACAATAGCCAATAAGTGAAAATAGTAAAACAAGTAAAAGTCCCAAATAAACATCCAACATGTCTCGTCCGATCCGTGGACTTCTTCAGGGATCTGGGACACTGTATCCGCTTCTCAGTTTATATACAGTTGCAAGAAAAAGTATGTGAACCCTTTGGAATGATATGGATTTCTGCACAAATTGGTCATAAAATGTGATCTGATCATCATCTAAGTCACAACAATAGACAATCACAGTCTGCTTAAACTAATAACACACAAAGAATGAAATGTTGCCATGTTTTTATTGAACACACCATGTAAACATTCACAGTGCAGGTGGAAAAAGTATGTGAACCCTTGGATTTAATAACTGGTTGAACCTCCTTTGGCAGCAATAACTTCAACCAAACGTTTCCTGTAGTTGCAGATCAGACGTGCACAACGGTCAGGAGTAATTCTTGACCATTCCTCTTTACAGAACTGTTTCAGTTCAGCAATATTCTAGGGATGTCTGGTGTGAATCGCTTAGTTGAGGTCATGCCACAGCATCTCAATCGGGTTCCGTTCCTTGGCCAAACAGCTTCCTCTGGACCCCAGGGAAGCCACCCTTCTGCATCCAAATACACCTTTTTTATTGTTGTAAAAAACGAATAAATTACAGTTGTGACATTACATGAAGTTGTTCCTTTTAATTTTTTATTTTTTTTAAATCTGTTTTTATTGAAAAGTTGTTCAGACAGTCGATACATACGTTAAAAAGGTTTGCATTTTGGGACACGCATCAGGGACTCATCAGTTTGAGAATACTATCCGCATCGTTTTAAGGTTATTGACTGGTGCGAGGATCAAAGCTGTAATTTGATCCCCTGGTTCTTTCCGCTTAGTAACCGAACCTTTTCCATTCCGTACTCCTCCGAGGGGCACAGAGCATCCATCACCAAATCTCGTGATCGTTCTCAATTTGTGATCCTTCCCCATCTGTTAGTTATGCTTTGGGCTTGGAGCCTGCGTTGCTAATGCCTAGCGTTTTGTCGTCCCCGTTAATTTATTATGTTCCGATTCGGTGCGTGTTCCCTTTTATTCGGTCTAATGGGGAAGCGGCTGTGGCCTTTATTTGGGGAGTTGTGTAAGTGGTATCTAGGGTGGTCAAAGGTGGTGTTTCAGGGCTTGTAGGTATCTTCCCTGCTGCGTTCTACAGTCTGTGTGTTATGTGTGTGTATGTTATGTGCCCACTGGTGGTGGGATGGTTCTGGTGGGTGGGTTGCATATGTGTTGCATCAAATATATGACGTGACGCATTTTCGGTGGGAGGTAGTCTTCCCTTCTTCACGCCAGGTTTTCCTCAATCTTTCCTAGTCAGGGTATGAATGTGAAGTGAGAGGGGGCAAGTATGGGAGGGAGGAGAGGGAGATAGGGGGAGAAGAAGGAAAGATAAGGTAAGGAGGGGACAGTGTATGGTCCATGCTAAGGGGGGGGGTCGGACCCCGTGCGCCACCACCGGCCCCGGGGTCCACCCCATTCTGTGGGTATCGGGAAATATACATAAACCAGTGTTGCCACTGTAGAATATGGCATATTCTATGTTTCTATTGATAATATATATGGATGTGTGGATTGACATAAGTAACAGATGGTATCAATAAGTCACAAGGCTTTCTTTGTCCGAGAGCTCTGGAATGTGGATGTGGGGGTTTTGTCCTTATATGGCTAGAGTTATATGCTGACGTTAGTATTAGCACTTCTATATAGTAACAGAGGGACACGAGGTCTCTCAGTCTAGTCTTGGCTTGAGTCTTGGCTCTGTACAACGATGTAACTCTCCCATCAGAAGTCCAGCAATTACCATCTGCTGTTGAATGTCCATTATCCTGTAACATTATTTATTATGTTTTATTATGTATCCGTAACAAAGAATAAACCAGAAGAAACCGTAAGTTAGATTGCGTATTACTACTTTTCAATAATATAGACATATATTATTGTGGCGAGCATTTGGCCCAAGAATATATATACAAAAGACGTATATATATCAATCAACTGAAGACAAGAAGAAATTAAAAAGATTCCACATGAACATCCATTCATCTAGTTTTTTACAGCCACGCTTCCACATGTTTGGTTTCTCTACCCGTCAGGGAGGCATGGAGCGCCTCCGCGCCCTGAATGTCCTCCACTCGCCTGATCCACTCCTCCTTCGTCAGGACCTCCATCTTTTTCCAATAGGCCAGTTTTGAGGCCTTAGCTGCCTTCAACAGATGGCGCATGATCGATTTGTTTGTAGCTCGATATAGGTTGTTGAGAGAT